GCGGGGAGGACTCGCGGACCTCCGTCATCTGCACGGACTCCTACAACGCCTCGCTGGCCACCTACCACCCCTGGGTGGTCCGCAAGGCGGCCACGGTGGCTTTCTGCGCCCTGCCGTCCCGAAACGCCTTCCTGGAAACCATGAACGTGGGCACGCCCGAGGAGGCTGTGGCCATGCTGGGCGAGGCCATACCCTACATCTGCGACGTCTACAGCATCACCCAGGAGCTCTTTGCCCGGCATCAGCTGCTCGACCTCCCCTGACAGGCGCTGAGGGGAGGGTCCTGCCCCAAGCTGACAGGATGAACCAGGTGGAAAACGGGTGTTTTCACAGAGCCACAAGCCTCTGGTTCTCTGGGGTCACTTTTCCAGCATGGAGTTGCTGGCAGAGCTATTCAGGACACCCCACTTTACAAGAGAAAAAACCCCTAAGAGTTTATGTATGTATATCTGATACATAAGCCTCAGCCTTACACTAAGAAAACACCATTAGCGTGCTTAAGGGGGTTCTTTCTCATTCCCAGATTCACCTTTAGCTCTCCCAGCTAGGCTGGGAGATGGGGGGTGCGTGGAGGGTTTTTTTTTTTAAGCCAAACTCTGCAACTTCTGTGCATTTCTACTAACAGGACCTCATGCAACAGCACAACTTTCAGCTGTGGTGCCTGGACATGTTTACAATAGAGGCGAGCTCACTGAGCCACTTTTGTTGATGAGCTGTTCCCTCAAACAGATCAGGGAGGTTTTGCCTCTTGTGCTTTAACCTTAAAGATACAATCCCAAGTAACATGTGACTGAAGGAAGCTCTTTTTCCTTGTGGTCACAGACTGATTTGATTACTGCTGCTAATTCTGCATCTAATTCTAGAATTAAAGAAGGAAGTGGTGGTTTATAGAGCCTGTCCTGCCTTTGTCCATGGCCCCACAGTGTGGGACTGTCCCGTGGAGCTTCCCCTGTCCAATAATCTGCATTTGATGTGTCTTGGGATGTGGAACAGTTTGAAATCTGTACTGCACAATACACCACACCCAGCTGAGGCTGCAGCCTGCACCTGAGCTGCTCTCCAGCCATGCTTCTAATTGTGCTCTCATGGTGATTTTTGTTTTATGAATGTGTCACACCTTCAAAGAAATTATTTCTCTGTCTGGGGAGGACTCTGAACTTGTACTGTAAGTCCCTACTCATGAGGCTTCTGGCTTCTGCAAATCACTGTGTATCATTGTGTATGTGTATATATATACATGCCCCCCAAAGTATCTACAACTGGGGGGCTACGTAGCTTTTTGAAAACTGAAAGAGCACTATATTGTGAGTTGAGGATGACCTTAATATTTGGGGGAGGAGGGAGAATCCCACAGGCTGGAATGTGTTTGTATCTGAGGTGCATTGTGGCCTCGTGTAACGCTGCATGGTTCAGGAAATCCCTCAGACCTCCTGGAGATTAAACTAACTGGACATTAAATTATGTGAATAACATGCTTCTGAAGAGTGTCCTTTCTAGGAGTGTTTCCTGGCTGGCTGGTGTTGGAAGGAACATGACTTATGGTGTCATCTATCCATACCTTGTTCTTCAGAGTCTGTCACTGACCTAGGGATCAAGCTTGCAGCTGAAATCAGCAACATGCAGATTCACTAGAGGGAGTTTGAATGTTTTGCACAAAAAATCCATCCTATAAACCATCCCCTGTGCCACAGTAAGTGCTTGAGCTCACATCCCAGTATGGATGGGAGTAAATAACTGCCTGTGACTTCTACACCATCCAAACAGCTTCTTTTTCTCCCCTCCCTGTAGCCGAATTTGTACGTAGAACTTTTTGAAAGAAGTTCTAATAAAACAAACACTCCAATAGCCACCCAGGGGGAGGTTTGCTTAAAAGGATGTCAGCATAAACATACCCATGGAAGACACAAACATAGCTAAACATAAACCTAAACACAGCTATGGAAATGTACAACCTTGCTTGCCTGGAGTACTCTGCACTTGGCTTTCTGCAGCCCACCTGCTTCTCTTCGTGCACAGAAAAACATTCCAGCCCTGTAGCAGTACAAGCAGTTTTCATGATAGTATAATATATAATAAGCCAATAAAATGCAATAAGTTGAAGTTCCCTTTTCAGAGCTATCCTGTTGTCTGGAATTCAAACCAAGCAAAAAAAAAATGCAAACTGTGACACCACCCTAATTGCTATGCTATGGAACTTCACCTAAACCAGAGCTTTTAAACTCAAGTCAACACCATAGCTCAGTGTGAAAAAAAACCACTTAGATCAGCCAAGAACAACTCCCTATAAAACCACAGCATAGCCAAGGGGGAGCTCCCCAGCCTCACAGCCTGGGGATCTCCAGCTCCAGACAGGCTCCTGCGATGCACCAAGGGAGATGTGGGTCTCTCCAGGGTGAGGTGACCCCGAATTTCAAACCAAAATAACAAAAATCACTGCTGCCTAAGCCTCCTGCCAGCACCCTTTGGTTCAGGCAACTCAATGTCATCTTCTGCAGTTCATTTAGAAATAAGCTGCACTGATTAAGATCTGCTCCCAGCATTAGACAAGTCATGAATCCAGTTGGTAAACAGGGATGTTCTCTACAAACCCTTTCCACTAAAGATATTGTTTCTTGCTTGGTTGGGTTTAGTGCAAAAGTCACGTCCAGATGAAGGTGGGGCACCAGAGTTCACCACCCACCCCACAGGAAGTCACAGAATTCCAGAAGCACAGAATCATTAAGGTTGGAAAGACCTCCAAGATCAAGTCCAACCATCAACCCAACAGGACCACTAAACCATGTCCCCAGGTGCCACATCTACACAATTTTTGAACCCCTCCAGGGATGGGGACTCCACCACCTCCCTGGGCAGCATGGCCAATGTCTCCCCACTTCATCAGGAAAGAAATTCTCCCAAATATCCAATCAAAACCTCCCCTGGGGCAACTGAAGCCCATTTCCTCTCATCCTATTGGTCTTTCTTATCCTGTGGTGCCCGAAACTGGACACAGTAATCAAGCTGTGCCCTCCTCAGTGCTGAATATAGGGCAAACCCACTTTCCTGCTGGACACATTATTTTTAACAGGGTTTTTGATGTTTTGTCCCATTTGAGCTGTTCACAACAAATCCCCCAAGTCGCTCTGCTCGAGTGAAGGCCACTTGGCCAGTAAAGGCAGCCAGGCTTAGGCCAAGCTTGGCCAAGCAGGCTCAGAGGCTGTCACCACGTTATTTGACTATTGCCCCAGCACAGAGTCACACATCTAATGCCATTTCCTAAACAAATCCTTCCCTGTCATTTCCATCTCTCCGAGCTCTATTTAAAGAGACTTCCCAGGCCTGAGGAGACGGGAGCCTCTGCCCCTGTCCCCTCTCCCACACTCGCCTGGAGATCTCTGGAACATTTTCCCCCAAACAGACAAGGGATGGTCCCCGACCTGCTGCTGTGTCTGAGCGTTGGTTACGCAGCAGCCCTCAACCCCACGTGCCTCTCAGCTCAGTTCAGGAGACCTGGTGACTACATCGTGGGAGGCCTGTTCCCCTTCGGGTCAGACACCGTGAACCTGACGGCTCGGTCAGAGCCCACCCGAGTTGGGTGTGAGAGGTAAGAGGAGTGTCAGCTGCAGCACTGCAGCTTTAGTTGGGTCACTTGGGCTGGGGACAGAGGAAAAGAAAGTTCTGATAGCAGCTGATGGTCTCAGAGCTGACCTGTAAAGGTGAGATGGAATCGGAGTAGCTCCAGCTCTGCGGTGCCATCAATTTCTGAGCCTGAAGTGGGAAAGGTTTTTCTGTTTTCCTGATGCTACTCTGCAGCCACACTTCAGATGCAACTCTTCCTTGCAAGGAGAATGAAAACACATGCCATATTACATTCCATATCATGGGATATTACACGCACCCACAGACCATGGAACTCCCTCTCTCCTCTCACTACAGGTTATTTGTAGATGGGCTAATCTGGGCTCTAGGGATGAAGTTTGCTATCGACCAGATCAACAACTCCACTTCACTCCTCCCAGGAGTAAAGCTGGGCTATGACATGCACGACACCTGCTTCGAGCCAGTGGTGGCCCTGCAGCCCAGCCTGCTGTTCCTCACCCGAAATGGCACGAGGGGCATCGGGGTGTTGTGCAACTACACCGAGTACCAGCCCCGTGTCACCGCCGTGATCGGCCCTCACCAGTCAGACCTCTGCCTGGTAACTGCCAAACTGTTCAGCTCCTTCTTGATCCCACAGGTAAAGAAACCCTCTAGAGAAGCAAGACTTCACCTTTTTGGTGGGGAAAGGATTTGGGTCAACAACACTGTCT